TTTTTTTTTTTGCTTTATTATTCAGTCAATTATCAGTTGTAAAAAAAATTCTCTGATTATTAATAGTCAACTAAAAGGAAAAAAACAGGCAAGTTCAACTTAATAAATAAATTTTATGATAAAATATGCAACTGTACATTGATAAAGCATCTAAATGTTGCATCTGAATTTGCTACTAATTGTTCAATTTTTCTCGCTATATTATAATCGTTTGAAAAACCGATCTGACTGAGAATTATATATCAATAAAAAAAATGAATCACTTTTGTAAAGTGTAAACAAAACTGAAAACCTTATCTTTTTTGAATTTGTCCGTATTGCTTAAATGACCAAAAATACCTGAACAAAAATACTCGACTTTTTTTTTCTTGACAAAGTTATTTGCAGTTATTTGTAAACTAAATTCCTTTATCACTATACCTTGTTTTCATTCTTAATTTTTCACCAGAAATTTGGCATCTTTAAACCGCTCAGCAATTAATCCAAGAAATTACCCTTTTTCGTTCACTGTAAAGTTGCCGAAAAGAAAAGCAGTTTTTTTTGTTACTATAGCCTTTATCGTCTTCTTCCAAAAAATAAAGTCATATAGCAAATGTTCGTCTTTTTCAGCTTATGGAAAATGAGAAGAAGAATTAAAAAAAGTGACCAAAACTGGGTTGGTCAGCAGGAAAAAAGGAAAGTTAAGCAATTAGAACAATAACTGTCAAAGCAATTCCAACAGTTGTTCTGGTGACAAATAAGTAATCCAAAAGAAAGCAAAAAAAATTCCAAAAGCAATTAACCTTTTAACAGTAGCCAAATAAGCACAAAGTAATTTTTTGACTAGTACTAATTACTTGAATTCGTCTATCAAATCAACTGCGAGTCAAAAATTTATTTTTTTTTCTGTACTCCTTCCAAGCCCGAAAAATTAGTGTTCTGATTGTAGGTACAACTTTAAAAAGTGTAAATTTATTACCTGAACAATGTCGATGACAAGCAGTGTGATAAAGCTGTTAAAGCAGTTATAGTAAAGCAATTCTGAGAAACTGATCTTTTGAAGTAGATCTTGAAATATGATAAGACTTCCTGCTTGCATTGCGATAGCGGCAATGCCGTAAATAATCGACCATGCATCGAAAACTGGATCAAGTAGATCTAAATAATAGATGCATTTTTAAAATCAGATAGTAACAAAATCTTTTATGACATAAGTTCTATCATCTTGGTTCTCTAAATGTAACAAATAGAGTTTTTATTGTCTTTTGGAAATCTATGCTACATTGATTATAAGGTTATCATTTTGCAAAACGAAGTAAAGAAAAAAATAATAAGTCGTTTTAAGTCGTCTTTGATCTAAACACTGTATAAGGCGATAAACAGTCAGCACTTACTGGTTAAGCAACAGCCGAAAGAGAGGCCTACAACAGCAGCTGTCAGAGAGGGAGGTAAAGAGCTTCGTCGGTAAAGCCAAACACTGGCTATTTGAACTGCAATCGGAAGGAAAGCTTTGACGCTTGCAAACTGAGGCATCACGAGACCTTCAGTGGCATGGAGGGATAAGTAGATGCTAAAGGCATACATCGCTGAAGCAAAAAATGTTTCCTTCGTTCTGTCGAACGTAAGTGGCTGTATCTTTAGCATTTTGGTAAGCCTGAAACTGTGCTTTTAAATTTTTGAAGTTGTTAACTATAGAAGCTCCTGACTAATCGTGATTTTTTAACCAATTTTTCCACCAAAATTTTACGAAAAAAAATGTTCAGAATAATCGTTTTTTTCACGTGTCTGTGTGCTTTCTGCGTCCTATATTTCTATTCTTACTCGACTGCTTTTCCTTAAATAACGAAGCAGTGGTACCGTAAATGCAAGTTAGAAGTGATTAGCCACATACCTGGCAAATTCTAGAACGCTTAATAGCACAACGGTCTGAACAATTAGTACGGCTACCGGAAAATCAAAGAAATAGAAGGACATAACACTTCTATGCAGTAAGGCCGCAAGTAGCGAGGTAACTCCATAGAGGAGAAGGCTAAAAGGTACACTAGATATTAATATATTAAAGGCAGTAATTAAAGATGAAATTACAAGCTTTGGTAAATAACTGTATCTTTAATTCTGTCACTTGGTAATTTTTGAGAAGTACAGTGCAACTGATAAGCCAACGGTGATAACCAATTAACGTTTAAGTCAGTTTCATAACAAACAACAGCTTTTACTGCAGCATCAGAAACAGTCATTGTTTCGTTAACTTCAAATATTTCTGGTAAAAGAACTACGTTTTCTGTTTTCGTATTTGAACTTTTTGTTGTTTTTAAAGGTGTTAAATAGTGCTATTCTGTTGTTCGTTTATTACTCATTATACTTGTTCAAGACAAATACCCTAAGCTGTATACATTATATTCGGCCTGCCGCCGCTACAGGTGAAACCATAGCTAAAGTTAAGCGACTAAAGCTCTTATGTTCTCAAAAATCTCGATTGCTTCGTTTTTTTGAAAGAAAAAAGGAGAAGAACGATTGATAATAGCAATGGAAGTAAATGTTGAATTCCAGTCGAGACCTTTGAGCTGATAATTAGTAATTTAATGAATTACTTTAACTATAAACAGTATCAGATTCTTGACAATACTTTATATCTTTTCATATTGCTTGTTCTCTTTTTCTTCAAACTTTTTTCGGTACATGTAAAAGTTTTCGGTTTGAAGACGGCTATTTTAAAACCAAATTGATGACATGGCACGTCGCGGCTGATAATAACTTAGAGCTGATGAACTAAAAATGAGTGTTTTTCTGTCGGAGATCGTTTCTGATAACTTAGAAATCAATGCTGAAGATTTTTATAATTTTAATTAATTTTTTTTTTGCGAATTAGCAACAGTAAAAAAAGTAGAAAACTGACAATAACAATAACAGTATACTTTTGTTTCACTAATTCATTACTGAAATAACTGACTGCTAATGAAACGTCGATTTGTCTAGTCTAACTAATTTCCTCGCACGTCATACGTAGTGAAGCATAACTCAAAATGAAGGGTTAAAGATTGGTTAGACTGCGCAAATTAACGCTTCATCAGCAAATAGTTGCACATCACCGTTTACAAAAAAAAGACTGTAGAAATGCTGTTTTTTTATGTTCCGAAAAAAATTTCTCTAAAAATGTTGTAGAACAAGCCGAGAATTAAAGACCTTAAAGTCAGCTAAAACGTTTTTGAGGCGCTTCTGCTTCAGCATTTTTCTTTTTAAGCAAACAAAAATACTGATATGATACGCAATTTTAAATTAAAAATCCAACTAGCAGAGAAGAAGACCACAAAAACTCATAAAAATTTTAACGACAACAAAATCAGCAACAACAACAACTGAAACTGAAACTTTTTAGAAAACATTTCGCATTTGTTTTGAACAGTAATCTGTGATAAAAGCACTTTTTTTTGTCAGTTATGAAACTGTACTTTGGTTAGCCATGAAACTGCTTGAAAACTTTTCTACTTTTAAAGAAATATTATTGATATGTGCACTGTCTATACTGTTCTATTTGAATCAAAAAATAAAAGTAAAATTTTCAACAATACGTAAGCACATGATGTCATGTCTTAGAACAAAAAGAAAAAAAAAACAAAAAATTTTATATGCTCCATCCTATTTTTCTGTAAAACACCAGAATTTGTGCTCTTCTTTTTTTTGATTTGTACATCCAAAACAAATATCAGCTACTCAATTAAACTGCCGATAACTAATTAAACGGTAATTCTACATTGAAATTGAACGGTTCTTCTCCAATTGAATAAAAATGCCAAAATATCAATTAAAAGCCATTACAAAATACCGAATACTATATGAAAATGTTCGGAGAAGAAAAAAGAAAAAAAATTTACCATATATATGGAGCGGTAGTCTCGCTAAACATGTTGCTGACACCCATGATGTTAGTTCAGTTGAATAATTTGTCTGCCGGCCTGGAGATTGCACAGAAACAAATTTAGGAAATAACAAGCTCTAAAAACGATTTGTAATGGCACTGTTTCAGTCTTTTAACAATTATCTAGGACTTCGGCTTGATACGATCTTTAACACTCAAACGCCCCTAACATATAAGGTTCATCAACAGTCTGTATTTCTTCCACTTACGTACATTCAATTCCTTTCTGCCATCCTTTTTTTTTTTTTTGCCACCTCCTGGTTTACAGCAGTTGAAAAGAAACTGTTAAAAGTCCGCCCTGTAAACGGTATATTTTCACAACAATGATACTTTTGAAAAAAACCGCACTAGTCGTATCTTTTGGATAGCCATTGTTAGCTTCGATATATTACGCCGTAACTTTAGAACACAGTTAGTTGCCTTTTTTATTATTCAACTAAGCTCTACAATGTTTACAAAGCAAAAGTTATAAAAATTCGACGAAATACTGCATGCAACTATTCGGGAAGACATTAAAAATGAGCCAATTTTGCTATCCTTGAGCATTGCATTTTAAGATATTTTGATCAAAATTTGTTTGTTAGTGCTCCAGACGTCAGATCAAATAAATGGAGAAAGTTGGTCATTATATGTCGTGTTCAAAACTTTTTCTTCGAAAAAAGAAAAAAAAGATTTAATCAATCATTTAACACTCCTTTTTCTAACCCATTAAAAATTTTTCCGGCTTCAGTCCATAATGCACTTTGCCAACTGCAGATTTCATCGCGCCGAGTAACAACTCCTGTATTCTTACCGTGAATAGAGTATCTGCAACTGCAACAACAAATTAGACTGAACAAACCAACTAGCGACAACTGTCATTTTCTTGCCCCAAATTCTGTTATTGGTACCGCTCATTTGCTAACTGAAGATATCCCGCCATCCTCGCATAATTCAATTCTACCAATATTACTGAAAAGTATTTTTTTTTTCGCTATTATCGCCAACGCATTCCCTTCAACAGCTTTCTAAAAACTTCAAAATCTGTCAAAGACTCAAATCGTTTTCCGCTTCCCTCTGGGACAAACTCTTCCATCACTACTCCTATTAATGGGACATGGACGACCGGGACGTCTGCTAACGAACTAAAATTGTAGCCTGCTTTCCCATTCTCGCAAAATCGCCAAAGAACTTCCAAAACTGCTGAAATGCTACTTATTTCGTCTTTTCACATTAACAGCACAGGTAAAATGTTGAAGTTAAAATCACATACAAACTAAATCTTTATTTCTATACACAAATATATAACAAATAACAACATCTTGTTTCCTACCAACTTCAACTGCCTCAATCACAAGCGCCAGCGTAGATCCTGCAGCCAGAAACATCAGAAAAAAAGATACTTATCAGAAGGAATGAACAACCAAACAAATGAAATCAACAACTACTGGCATTCAACAGACTGTTATACTAAACGTAAACAACACCACTGTCCCAACAATCTAAATAAATAATTTATCCCAAAGTCTAATTAATGTAAGCTTAACTCGTACAGCAATAGACTTCTCAAAATCACTTTAAATGTCCACCCAATATGAAGGAACAACTCCACTATGTTTATAAGCTAATTGTTTAGCGTTACCGACACAACAGGTGAGGATAAAACAGATGAAGTTAAGTGTTCAAAAAAGTCTCCCATCCGCTCAAACTATCCTAACATCCTAAAGTTTACTGAAACGCAAATGAAAGTACCCTCCGATGAGACGCAATGAACTGCAAAGCCTAGCAATGAACTGCAAAGGTCATTAAAAAGAGAAACCACAAAAACAATAAGTAATTCCCAGCTTCAGGCAATTATTACGTAGTTTTCCAGATGACTCCATTGAAGTCAAATAACAAAAGTTGGAAAAGACTAATACTTTACTGTAATTAAACTAAATAAAACGCATAATGTTTTGAAATAGAGAGATATAGAAGTCAAAAACCACACTGGAAGTGGACTCAAAGTGTTTAAGCACGTTACTCTAATCTATGATTACAAAAACTTTCAAAACGTTTTAACGCCGATCTGTCTTGCCAATACCACGTTTACCACTAAATAAGTGTTTGGGTTTCTTGATGACAATACTTCTATCACTTTCTCCTTTTCTAGCTTGTCTCTGGGCAGGTCGTTGAGCTTTACGTAACACCTTTTTCGTCTTCTCACGCAGCTACAAAATACATATAATCACGATTACAGAGCGTAATAGTGTAAGCAAACAAATTAATTCGGGGAATAAAGAGAGGAACTGAAAAAGAGTTCACCTTAATGTTTGGTATGCCTTGAACATCCCGACTGGGTATTTCAGGCGCTGACAGCGATGCACTTTTTCCCACACGGATTTTCTTAACCGTTGGAACCCTCTCCTGCTCTATCATTAAGTTTCGCATCCTCTTGGCCTCTATATTGACACCTAGCTCACTAAGTTCATTTTCTAATCGTTCCATGGTCCGCTCACGTTTCCGACCAACCGATCGGGTTAAGCGAGGTTTCCGTACACTCTTCCTCATCTGTGACTCCTAAACGTTCAAAAAATATACGAAGGCTTATTCATCGTAATATATTAAAAAACCCTAACCTTCCGCATCATTTCCTCTTTCTCCGATATCCGTTTTGCATCTTCAAGTAACTGCCGTGTTTCTTCATCGTCTGAATCAAGGTCCTCATCATAATACCTGCATAAGAAATAACTTTCTAGCACTTATCAAAAAAATCAGGAAGCACCGAGGTAGTAAAACAAAAAACTAGTTTTTTTCAGTATTGCTCTACAAGACGAAGTTATGCAATAAAATCATCTATTAAGCAAACCCTGCTTCAATTCTTTGTTTCTCTTCCTCCTCCAGTTCAGCCAAGTTCTCCTTCACATTTGCATTAATAAAATCTGCTATATTATGACCATTCCATATTTCTGGCACTATATCATACTTCTCGTCCTCATTTTTTAACAAATAGTGTTCTATAAATATAAATGGCTTAGTTTGTTATTTGCACCGCAAAAAGCTGCAAAATATCGCATGGTCAAGTGCATACTTTCCAATACCAGATAAACTCTTTCCATGCACTCTGAAGTGTTACTAAAAGATCTCCCCAGAAAATACCGAAAACCCCGTGGCCGAAATGAATTTTCTGTTTCATACTCGTT